TAAGCATTAACTGCTCTGGCACCAGAAAGATTCCCTTACGGATGCACACTCAAAAAACATCCTCCCAGTCTGATCAGGATCCACAGCTGTGCATTCCCTGAACTTCAAGAACATCACATATCCATGGTTTGCTTAAACTATGGTTCTTCAGAACCACCAAAAACTTGACTGAATACATTTTACCTACTCTACTACCCCATCCCCATTTAGAGTCTTTATCTTGTCTATTAGGGATGTTAGATTGGTTGGACAGTTGATGGACTTTACCATTTATTTATTTGTTTTTACTGAAAGCCCTGCCTGAGCTATCTATTAGTTCAAAAAAAAAAAACCAACAAAAAAAACACAGAACAAAAACAACAACAAAAAAACCCCACCAAAACCCACAACACAGACATGCAGACATGTCCCCCCCAAGAAAGAAGAGCTAGCTTACTACTGTTCACCATTCTGCACAAAGTCTTTTGTGAAAATCTGCATTTCAAAGCAATCTGAGAAAGAATGCGCAATTCACAACCTGTGGTCTTGCTCTCATTTGCTGAAGTCTCAGAGGACCCAGGGCAGTCTAGAATTCACATGGTGCTTAAGTCTATCTCAAGCGACAACTCTGTATGGTTACAAAAATATATATTTAAAATAAAAAGAATCTCAAGAGTGAAATATATCAGTAGTACAAAGGAAAAGGAAAAAGTCACACTAGCTGTCACCTAAGCTGATTTTACCTCACCTGACCTTCTTAATGTTTTCATTTGTACCAGACCCTGTGCCTGGATTTGAGCAAGCCAAGCCAAGCAAGTCACTTTTAACTCTGTAAACCCAGTGATATTCAAGCGTTGTGTTCATGCTTTTATTTTAACCTCCCAAAACTCTCACCAGTGCTCATCTCTGGCACCCTCTTTTTGGATGATGTTAATAATTTGATTACTACCCTGATAAAGTGGTTTAGTATACGCCAACAGCCTGATTAATGTTCTGAGAACATTAATCAACTTCGCAATATGCTTACAATTGACACAGGACTTTTTGGATTATGGTTAATAAACATAGCTTCTACTGATGGTCCTATTAGCCCTGAGACAAGAAGTAGTTATAGCATGCCCTTTAATAGAAGCCAGTGTCAGCTTCCTCCAAAGAAAGTTTCCTTTTGCCTAAATTTCCAGTCATTTTGACCCTCACCAGTGCAGTAAGGGGCACAGTTAAGCTGTAATGAAAGCAAGGCCATTTGATCTAGCAAGAAGTGTAGAAGAAAGTATTCAAATAGATAACATCCTCCTCCTCCTCCTCACCCATATTTCACGGCTGCTTTTGTTTCCCTTGTGTCCCAGCAGGCAAATGGAAAATGGCAGGAAAAAGAGTGGACAGACACAGAATCAGTCTCTCCCACTCTTGCATGCAAGACTGACTAATCATATAATCATGGGTACTTTGTCTTTGCAGTTCAAAAACTTGACAGATAATTTTTGTATTTGCAACTCCTATGATGCCTTATTTGCAAGTTTCTCCCTTAAAAGGTACTAAAAACTTGTTTTGAGAAGTGAAGCATTGGTTTAGTCACCCAAAGAGGAACTTCAAGCTAAAACTGAGTATTGCTTAACTCAAATGAATCTCAGGACTTGACAACAGCAATTTACTGTTGCTGAAAGCAGGCCTTTTAAATTGTACTGAAAATCCGTCCACGTCTTTAGAGAGAATCATTGCAAGTTTGTTTTTCCCCACAGTTAGGGAATATGGGATCTACTTGCCCTATGAAGACACAGCCTTGACATTTATCAGTGAACAGCCTCTTGAATTCAGTAATAGCAGGTCACATACCTACAGCTGCACATGTGAACTATCTTTCAGACAGCAGCCTTTTTAGCCACATGAACCTGTGTGTTAAGCAATGGTAACCATCTTCAATGCACATCACTGCATCTATCCAGCTTTCTCTGGGACAGTTTCATCGCAATGAGAACCAGTCTGTGTATTACGCTTAAGACTTTCATGAACTTATTCCTGTTACCTTGAAGTGCAACCACATGAGCCTATTGCATACTGAATACACAAGATTCCTAGGCGTATCGCTTGCTAGTGAAACTGCTGCAAGTACAGTTAAATCCCTCCCCCAATGTATTCTTCACCTTTTTGTTTTACAACATTTGGTTTAAACTTCCAACTACTTTGTGCTGTGACACTGAAAATCAGAATCTAAAAATGGCAGAAAGCCATTACAAGGAAAAAAAGAAATATTCAGCAAGTCCTCTTTGTCCTTGATGTAAGCAACTCCTGTTCATGACAGGAACTAGGTAGCTTTCACAATGGTTTACATCCAGGTGGCTCATTTCAGACTGGAAGACCAGATTAAAATTTTGGCATCTCACCCAAAGGCCGTCGCTCTTTCTCACCCGAGTTTGGCATAAACAGCTGCAGAAGTTGCCCTCCTGCACCTCTCAGAAAGCCAAGCTGCTACTTGGGAAGGAAGGGGAGATGGGAGAGCCAGCTACTGACAGAGGGTAGCACCTGCTCTGAAGGGAGCATGTGCCTTGCAGCAACCACAATGAGTTGGGAAAAGCAGCTGCAACATCAATTATCAGGGTTAAGCTGCGAGCAAGTGCAAGAGGTTGCATTTAGCTGCTTGGGCAGCATTTACCCTTTGAACAGTCCCCTTCCTCACCTAAAGTGAGCCCAAGGAAACTGCCTGGAAAGCAGTATCTATTAGGGTCCAATTAGGGCCACAATCAAAAGCCTTCAAAATCTCTTGCGTATAATAAACCTCATATATAGTTGCCAGTTTTCCTTCCTCTACGCCATCCAGCTGAATAAATTTGCATGGTTGTAGATGGGTTAAAAGTTAAATTCCATCTCTAGTGTTAGAGCATTCACATGCTCTTAAGAGGAGATCTTAAATCAACTCTGATTACTGAAGAGTTACACTGACAGGAACAGTGAACAAATAGTAGCTTGTTAAGCACAGAGTGTATGTGAAGAGTGGTCAGGGAGAAGCTGAACATGCTTGCAGGAGTAAAGATTGCCTGACATTTTTCCAGTTAAAAGCTAATGAAAAATAAGGCCTGCCAAAATTCAGTCAGTTCACGTCATATTTGTTTATGTTATGTTCAGTTTAATCTTTCCCCCTAATCTGCATGTAAGGCTTTTACCATTTAACCAAATAAAACGCAGAAAATCTGAACGCTGCTTAAATCAAAACCAGGGACTGATCATTTTGAATTCGTATTTTCCTTTTCTGTGCCAAAGACCCACTTTCTCAGGGGGGCTATGCTACAGATACACATCAAAAAACTGCAGCTTGTTTTTCCCCTTTTGAATATTTGGACTGTTTAATGTGCCCCAAATTTAAGCTTCTCCTTGCATGCTTCAAGAAATCATTGTACAGGCTGAGAAAAAGTCCTCTGTAGTTAATGAATTTGACTACTACAGGCAAAACAGAGATTAACAGCAAAAGACTAACAGCAAAAACAGAGCAGGAGGGATTATGCTACATTGCTCAAGTGCTTCCTACTGTTGATAGCATCTGAACAGTATGGAAGTCGGGGGGGGGTGTGTGTGGAAAAAGTCATCCAATTTGAAAAGAGGACAACAGTGACTAATACAAGTTCATTTTGTATGAAGGACAAGCTGACAGAAGAAGAATTTAACCTTTAGAGTACAAGCCCAAGAATTGCCTGGAAGGACATCCAAAATTACTAAGTTCCAAAAGTCATCTCATGTCAATAACACCTACTGTCCTTCCATGAGTTTCTTTCTGCTTTACTTCATATGCAGAGCAATGAGCAACAACAAGGTAGTCCATAAAGGAACAATTCCGCCTGCCCGTGGCGTGAACCTATACCTTCCAAACCTAATGGTCAAAGTTAAATCCATATATGATGTTACATAACTTCATTACAATGTTCCCAGCATTTGCTTTACTCTTTTCAAAAAGTTCATATTGATTTTTGTTTTTTTAAACTTTTGCAAACATAGCTGAGTTGCAAAAGAAGAAAATGTGCCTTCTCCACTCATGTCTTCTATTGCCTTAACTCTAGCTATACCATACACAAGAGCTGCCTTACTAGTCCTTCCATTACTTCAGCAAGACGCATAACCTAGGTAAGTTTACTTTGCCACTCTCTCTTTCCACAATTAGTAGTCCTGTCCTACAAAAACACCCTCTTGCAAGAGTTGATTGTTTCGACCATACTTTAATTCAATTCCCATCCTTGGACTGCCAAGGATGTTAATTTCTAACAAGACTGGTAGTGTTCTTCCTTCACTGAGCTGACAGCCAGGAACTGGATTTAGGCCCAGACTCCCGAAGTTATTTAAACACTTCCAATCCTCCTAGTGAAAAGGACCTAAATGTACTTGAAAATTTAGTCCCCATGTTCAAACAGGAATTCATGAAACTAAAAATAAGCAGCTTTCACTCACTGCCAGTTAAAATCCAATTTTTTAATTGCAGCCTACTGATAGCTGATCATAAGACGGTATTTGACAAAAAAAAAAGTTTGTTTTAACTCCATTCTACTGTGCCAGAAATGAGAAGTGTGTCTTCTTAAAAATATGGAAAATTATTATACCAGGCTCAGCTGTTGATCACTACTTCTCAGAACTTTTTCTCTCAGTTGCAATCTATTCAGAAGATCCTGAGAGCTATTTCTTTCCGCATGGAGCGCTAAATTCTGTACTACACATGATTCTCTGAAATTTCCTACAAGACTCAAAGCAGTACTCAAACACACATCCCAGGTTCTAGAAGTCTGGATGCTTATATTTGAGAAGTGCTGAGGTTGTGTTGAATACTGCCATTTGTCAAAGTAATTTTGTTGCTTGATCACAAGTACCTCTGTACTTGGCTACCCTCTATTTTCCTCCTTTGTGTTTTATAATTTCACTGCTCAAATACAAATTTGCACTACTTGTAACAGAAGGAATGATTTATGTGTGTGATTTACAAATTCTACCTTAACATAGAGCAAATAGATAACATGTCAGTGCTGTAAAGTGGGGCCTGTTCTTACCATACAGTTCATGGCAAAGTGATTGTGCTGTGTCTGAAGCTCCATCGCGTGGGGGTGACTGGTTCCGATCTCTGTGTAGCTGTTCAGAAACAGACCTTTGTTGTGTGTGATCCAGTCAAACATCTGCAAGAAAATATTAAGGAAAGAAAGAAAGAAAAAAAAAATCACTAATTCGTTATGGCAGAAATCATAGACAAGTAATGTGAGAAATCTGTGAACACAGAAGACAGTCTCTAAGGCCATAAAAATTAACACTAATGCTCCTTCCATTGTAAGTTACCGTACATTTTAACCAAATCATTGCTGAAATCTGACTTTTCGGACCAGAGAGCTGAGGCTGTTAAATCTTTACTATAGCTGTTTATCTCAACAAGCTACGGTAAAGTCATAATCATAAAGTCATAAACTTCATTACTACAAAGAAGTCATAGTAAACAAACAGGCTTGGAGCACAGCCCTGAGTTACCAAGCTTATACGTTCTCTAGTGTCAGCTTTTCATGATGTCAGCAGCTTAGTAATTTAGAATGAAAATGGCAACTCATGGAAATTAAATATAAATTCATTCTTGCTGATCACGTACTTGAGCAGCAAGTTTAATATTTTTAGTTCATAACTTTACAGCAGATTTGAAACCAACTTTTCTATTGCTAAACAAATTTAAAAAAACTATAATTGAGCACAGAGTTACACATTACCTTCTTCCAGACAAGTTTAGGAATAATCTTTATATATGTTTGTTTGGTTTTTCGTTTTTTTTGTTTTTTTTTTTTAAAAAAAGTATTTTAATACCCAAGCAAATTTTAAGAAAGACTTTATCTGACAATGACCATCAATGGAGATACATAGGTATGCTAACAGTAGCACTGGAAGACGAAGTTTTCAAAGACCAAGCAACAGAGCAAAAGGCTAAGTTTAACACCACCACCCCCACACCCCCTGCAATGGTCTTGAAACCTTTGCTATATCTCAGCTCAAAAGACCCACCTACTCTCTGGATAAGCTGAAAAAGATTGTTTAGAAAAAAAATGGTAGCAATGAGCAGCAAGTACTCATTTAAAGATCTTTTAAAATATGCTGGCTAACAGAGCAATATTATCAAATCCATTATTCCACCCAGGTACGTGACAAATCAAATTATAAGTAGAGCACAATATGGTAAGGACTGTAAACAACAAAAAAAAAGTTTTAAGAGCTTAGACAACTGAGACAGCTGATCACATACTCCTAAAGTTTTCAGTTTATCTAGACTACAGTGAAGATGTGTTAGAACATTATTCAAAATAGACACTGATCCTGCTCGTGACCACCCTTCTCGAGGTAGTCTGACTTTGCTGCCTTCAGATACCTACAGGGCAATTCCAATCAGATTCCCTCCCACCTCGCCCCTTTTTTGCCTTCTCTTCTCCTGAACCAGCCCACATTTCTTGTGCAAAGAGTTGTGCAAGTCCTCCAGAATGAACAGGTTTATTTCTCCCCATCCAATACCCTTTATTTTTCCAACAAAGATCCAGCCCTTTCCCACACCTAAATAAACCACATAGACATACACCGATAAAGAAGCCCTGAGCTAAGAAATCTAATCTGACGCAAGCAGTGAAATAAGGGCTGCAAGTAGATTAAGGCAAGGGCCTTAATCCAAAAGTGAGCTGGGATACTACACAAACCTTGTTTTTTATTCTCTCATCAACCAGTAGAAAAAGATTAAGTCCCAGGTATGTTAGCTGCTGTCAACCCCATTTTGAGGTGCCTAACATTTCCCTCTATCTTGAAAGAAAGATGCGTTAATTTAATATAGACTTGTTCTTGGAATCGGGAATGTAGAAAACACAGATAGGAGCTTATGCAACCACATGGCAGGACAGAGATCAATCCCACAGGCTCAAGTATTTCACAAGGAGTTTCTTAAAGCCCAAGTAATGTAAGCAACTTTTAGATGAGTAAATGAAGAACATCTTTCAATATCACGTGAACACCATCAAAATAGATATTATTCATGCTATAATAAAGAATAATTAATGCTGTAATTAAGTGGCTGAAAGGTTGCTAAAAAGCATTTTGGGCCTGAAAGAGCAATACTAGACCAACAGCTTGTTATTTTCTTAATAATTTTATAACTCTAAATTCACTTGACCAGATTTTTTTCAACTCTTTACATGCCCCTACTATTTTCAGCTATACCTATTCAGTAAACACTTACTTTAAATGGTACTTTTAAAAAATGATTTCTATTTTAAACACAGCAGAAAAACATTAAGAGTAATGTAAACAAAGTCCCTGAGCTGAAATTATGAGGGTAAGGGAAAGTACGGAGGAAGAAAACAGAGGAAGAAGGAGGAAGAAGTAGTATTACGTATGTTTGCCCTGCTTTTACTCTTCCCCATGCATCTGCTTATGACCACTGCTGGAGAGCAGGATACTGGTTTAACACAGACCTTTGGTCTCATCCAGTTCAGGCATTCTTACATAAAATATTTTGAGAAATCTGACAAAGACCATACTTACCACTTGACTGCATAGGCCAGTTACTTCTCCGGGAGAAAAACTCCCCACCCTTCCTTACAGCTATTTGTTCCATGGTAACAAGTTAATAAGAAGTGATTGCAAAACCATTCTATATGAAAACAGATCTTATTTGAGCTCATCTAAAAGTGCACTGCCTGCCATATTTCCTCTTCAAGTTCCATGACAATCAAGGGCTTTCTCATTTGAAGGGACTGGTTAGCCCCAAACATTCTGAGATCACTCAGTCCCCTGTTAATGACACATGCACTGTCAAAAGAGATACATCAGGTTTTAGCCTGGGACTTTAAAACCTGCATCAATGAAGCAGTTCCCCATGTCAGCCTCTTCAGACTTTGTCGACTGCCTGTCACTCAAATCCCAAGGGTCACTCAAAAGACGACCAATGTAGTCCTTAGTCATCTGTATTTATAAAGTATACATTATTCATCTTCACTTGATGCATGCAAAAGCATCTATCTGGAACAAAAATTTACCAAAGCAAAAGCTTTAAAGTCACTACCACTTAAAATTTTCTTCAGTGAGAGCTACCTGTATTCTCTACAGCTTAGAATTACTACCCCATCCCCTTTACTCCAGAAGACTAAGAGTCACTCTTAATCAAGAAATCCTTTATGTCTCATAAAAAGGCTTGTGATTAACTCTAAAGACAAAAATTACTATTTGCAGTTATCCATGGTACTTCTTTCAAGTCCATCAAGCAGCGCCCATTTATACTCCTCTCCCTCAATCCCTTACCTTTTCAGCATCCTGCTCAAACAGCCTGAGCTGAAAACATTGGTCCAATTTCAATTTCCGCACATGCCACATCTGATGCAGATGCTGCCGTGTTGAGTGCAGCCTGTCCAGCATGGTGGATACTTTGGGTAAAAGGTTCTGTAAGTCTGCATTCCCTGACCCAGAGTTCTTTTTGGGAAAGCTATCACTGCTCTGTATCCGCTGAAGTAGCTTTTGTCCTTCCACATCAAGGTCCTCGATAGGGGCCTTAATGACTTTCTTTTTTAATTGTGAATGCTCCTCTATCATATTGCGAGCACCTTCCAGGTCCTGAGGCATTTCCTTTTTTGACAATATATCTTGCAGTTCCTCCAGTCTGGACAGCATATGGGTTGCATTGCTAATGTAGTCCTCAAAGGCAACTCTGATTTCTATCCACTCCTCATGGTTGTACTCCAAACAGCCATCAAATTCTGGGGTTAGCTGAGAAGGATCAACTACTTTGGTAAGGCCTTCCAGAGACACCATATTTGTCTAAAAAATAAAAATGAAAATTAAAAAATGCTGTTACTAAAATGAATTTGAAATTTTCTTTCAAGTTTTTGTTTTTCTCTTTGTAAGAGTTGATCATTTTGCCCATGAAGTCCACATGACTTTTCTCATACACTTCTTTCCAAACATGAATTCCCATCAGCCTCCTGTCTTGCAGGTATTTCCCCAAATGAGAGAAATATTTTACTTCTTTCTTACCTCACTTCTTTCTTACCTCACTACACTTAAGGACAAAACAGCAACCACTCTTTTGACTACTGTTTTGATTAAGTTTTGACTCTGTGTAATCTAAAGCAGCAGGAGGATAACAGCAAGATTCAGTTGGCTGCTTTCCTCTGGATGCTGGTGATATCACGATTACCACAATGCAGACCAAGACAACAAACAGATGAAACCTAACTTTTTACCATTAGGGGTAAAACCCTAATTCCATCTTCCTCATGCTCAGAAAAAGAATATAAATGACAACATGCACAACTACCTAGCCTAAGTACATGAAGAAAACCACATTCCCTCTAGCACCACTGGCCTAATGCACCCTTCCTCTCATCTAGAACATAATTTATCTGAGAGTTTTCAAGATGCTGATCCGTAGCGAGCACACTTAAAACCATGAAATAAAGGTAAATTTGTATTACCAAAGGGGAAATTACCTCAAACTCAAACTTAGAGCTGCCAAAGTTAGTCCTCTGTTTCTGCCAGAAATTGTCCGGCTTGATTATCAGTGCAACATGAATACAACATGGAAAGGATTCCTGTAAAATCTTCAGCAGAGGCTTTATGGAGTCCCATTTTGACCCACGCATATCTACAATGACGGTGAATCCTCGTTTACATACTTCCTCACTGCAGAAGAAAGAAGAAAAGGTTATCAAGCAAATGTTACAACTTCAAACACAGCACTCTACTGCACCACGCTGCCTATAATGAATGTGGTCTCCTCAGCTAACCGTAAAACCCTAGGGTCTCACTGTTGACTCGCTGACACATACAGCAGATCTCATGAACCTCTCAGGAAGCTTCTCTTACCCCCCTGCCAAACTCCTTGTGGGTGACAGCTTTACACCTGTTGCTGATTTGATAATCTGCCTTTATCTCCTCTTTCATTTTCATTGTTTATATTAATGATGATTCATCTTCCAGTCTTGTTTCTCCTTCACCTTACACACACATTAAACACACCATCTACCGAAGCAGCAATATGTAATTTACAATTGACTCTTCAGAAAACACACTCACACACTTTACTGATGACAATACTCATGCCTTTCTAATGACTGAGGGGATCCTCTAAAAGACAGAAGATGGCATACTGTTCTTACCTACCACTTCTGCAAGTTTTTTAAACTGTCTCAGATTTAGTCCCATATTATCTGAGAGTTAAAGAGTCTGTAGAGGGAAAAAACCCCTTTACTGACAATTTCTTCTGTAACAGGATCGATTTGTGGATAGTTAATGGGTAAGAAAGCATTTTATGGCTGTGAAGAAAACAGCATCAACCTGTTTCTACAAAATTTGAGCTCAATTTTTCTGTCCAAAAGTCGACAGACCTTACACCCAAATTCTCTGGTAACTCCTCCTAGAATGGCAGATTCAATTTCTTTTCATCAATATCTTTTGTACACTTAGTGCCTTCTGCTGATCAAAAGTGGCAATCACCACCACCACCAGAAATTTTGATTTTGTTCCAGTAGAATTTGCTACATGACCTTGTTAACACGGAAAGGAAAAATATTTCAAAACCAATGTGTCATAGCCAATGGACTATCAAAAGGGACCAAATGTCCATTGTTTGAGTACATGAGTCACTTTCAGGGATGTGACTAATGTAAATGCAATTCTGGAGTTCATGTGGTGAGGTTTTCAGAGTGTCCAAGAAGTAGGGAAGCTTCACTGGCATACTTTACACAGTCTCATTGGCCACACTGTAGAAAGATGAGTTATGACTGATAGAAGAGAGCAGAAGAGCTTCCGAAAGAAGTGATAATACAGGTTCCTTAGGAGCTTTCGTAAAGTTGGTTTAAAAAAACCAGACCCAAAACCAAACCACTATTTAAAAAAGGAGTTTATCAAGATGAATGCTGGCTGTCCCACCTGCCCATAGGAATGCCAAAAATGGCAATGGTAGCAGGAAAATACATTAAAATTAACTAGCTTGGAATACACATAGGCTACAACATACAATTTTCTGACCATGGTGAAAATGTTTTCTAACAGCCTCACAGGACTAAAGGACAAAAACAACCACTGTTTTAAAGATACACCCATTATTGAAAGGCTGCATGCTATTATACGAGAGCTGCTCAGGCCATCCCTATCCTACCACACAAACTGAGCACTGCATGAGGAGGAGTGCTTGCCACTAATTCACGAGGTACACATCTACTGGGGTGTACAAAGCGGCCCCTCATCATGCAATACAATGCAGATGTGTCCTCCCATCACGTGGCCCCATCATTTGACAAAAGATGAATCCCTTTTGGCCAAGGATCACAAAAATCGTTCTAGGAGGCTTTAGTCAGCCAAGGTCATCTGTTAGGTAAACCTGAACTACACTAGTACCTGGTCCAGTCAGCACTGATGACTTAAGTTTAGCAATATTTTTAAATCAGATAAATTGTTAAATTAGTAAAATTGTGAGACTGAATCACCTTAAGTGTTTAGACCTCTTGCCAAACAACTGATACCTCTGAATCTTCAGCTACGTAGAGTAACAGTACTGCAATAACTAATAGACAGACCAAATATTTGGGGCTATTTGTACCAGCTGGGACTTCTTAATTAGCAACAGTTGCATGGTCAGTCCCTAAAACATGACCTGTATGAAAATGAGTCTTGCTTTTAATAAAGCTCCCTTTATTCTCGAAGCTTTGCCATGCTTAGAGATATAAAACCTGCACTAACTTCCTTTTCATTTTAAACCTGTTGATGCTAAACTAACATACATCTTTTGCCAGAGGACCACTGCATTTGGCCAGATTATCTCTAGAAAACTCTCTTGGGCATATTTTGATGCATATTTGTCTATTAACTTCTCTAGTAACTTGAAGCTCCAGAGGGCTAGAATACATCTCAAACTTTCAAATGTGAAGTCAAATTATTTCAGAAGTAAAAATCTCAAGCCTTCTTCCCATCCTCCTCCCTCTACCTCCCCAAAATCCCTCAGTTAACTTTAAAAAAAAAAAAAAAGAGTAATAAACACTCCTACACTTCAAAGTGAAATAAAGACTAGAATAATTGAATTACCAGCAATTGCTCTTAAGGAAGGCCATACACACTGTCAACTAGATGCCTTGAAGTTATTTTTATGGAAGCACTTTTGTCAATCTGAAACCGACATTTAATTCATCAGGTGCAAAGACGACTGCCTATAAATTAACACATTACAGAAATATGGAAGGTATTGCATTCAGGGATGTTGTCCAAGGGATTTTTTTCAACTGTAATGACAACTGCTCCTTGAGGTCATAGTCAAACATATTCAAGCACAGTCAGCGTTGCTCCAGTCTGCACCAAATGCTGGCAGATTCTGAGATGGACCTAAAGTCAGGGTCTTATGATAATTTTTGTCCCAAATTCAGTTACTACTAGGAACAAAGTTCTATGTGAACAAACTTTTTTACATATATATAATATATAACTTTTTTTTTTAATATGTATATAACATTATATATCCATATGGGTGTGTATATACACACACACTAGCACTGGATTTGACTTCTGCCGATTTATTTAAATAGCACTTTGTAATTCATAGCTTAAATTGTTGATAATACAATGATATCAGTACTTTCACAGACCTCTCCACAGGTTTATCTGAGACCTGTACAAGCAATTTTAAATTTCTCTCTCCTGGTTATTCCTGTGCTGTATCAGGACACTATAACTTATCTAATACAAATAACAGGAGTGTTGTGCTGACCTCAGTCCACACAAGGCATATTGTGAATGATGACCAGTACATTTCTAATTATTGATGTACTGAAAGCCTTCGAGCTTTATTCGCAATCTTCAACACAGTGACAGCAATATGGCATGACAGTGCCATTTCCAAGACACAAACTACTTCCAGCTAAAGCACACCAGCCATTCTGCCAACATCCTTCCTTCTAGAAGGCAGAGTAATTATTTAGGTCTTTTCCAAAAAGCAGTTCAAAAACAGTAACTGACAGAACCTGGTATGAATTTGCTCATTTTCTTAACCCATTCAGTCTTCTAGCTTGTGGATGTACTGCAACATAATCCATTTATCTTGTTTTATAGCTTCAGAGCTTATCAAGTGACCATCACTTACCTAGGAATACACGCTAGGTATGAAATTAGTCTTCTAAGGTCTTCTTGCCGTATTCTATCATGATTACTACGAGCTGGAAACGTTAGAATGGGACCTCCACGCTTATCTCTGCCACCTGAAAAATTAAACATGTTAGAAGACCTCACAGCATAACTCCATTCTTGTTTGCAAAACTACTCTTCAGAATACTTTTGGAAAACCTAAGTCCTACACTGTTTCATTAATATCCATTCAAAAAAAAAAGAAGTGATTTCAAGTTAAATGCCAACAATGTCATTTAGAGACCAGCTTAAAACTGAATTTTGGGGGTATCAATCAGCATGTTGTCACAATTCCTACAATGAGGAAGTATCTGTGAAAAAAATTGAAATAAAGAATAACCATAGCGTTACACTTACACATTAGAGTCACATTCAAATTTGACTGGCAGTGTGACATCTCCAGAAATGGTGCTTTGTTATGTATTTCACTTTTGAATCAGCAAGTGTACAGATTAAATTTAAATACAGAGTCATGCTACTTTGTAGGCAAGTATTTAGAGGATACTCAGCATTAACTTCATTACTAGCACAGAGATTAGGTGTATAGTATTTCACACCCAATGCATATACTAGATGAGTAGAAGGATACTATTTAAGCATTTAAGTTTATATTTTTCCCCTGTTCTGATGTGCACATTCTGAATTGTCAGTTTATAGTTTTAAATTTTGTTAGCAATGCAGGAAATTCTGAATCCACTTAATATGTAAGGCAAAAAATCTGACTTTGAGTGGTTCCACTTAAATGTATTCGTCTCATTCGTTAAATTGCACAACTTACTGTAGTTGAACATTAAAATGCAATTTTATATCCAACCCCTTGCTAGTGACAACAAAAATGTTACCATTACTAAATGCTAAAGTCAAGTCAGTAGGCTGTCTTTATTAACACTTGTATAATAGCACAGACATATTCTTACAAGCTAAATTTCACATATACGTTCTCAACCACACATGTAGACTGTTTTCTCCTGTCCCATGGAAATGCAGAAAAACACTATCCTCTGTCCTGAACAATTTCTCATTGTAAATCAGCTCCTCATTGTAAACCCATGTTACTAAACAAAGTTTAAAAAAAAAAACAAACCCTTAGAAAGGAAGGCCAAAAGCAAATGAATAAAACCAGTCACTCAAAAATTCATCACTATCCTCCCCAACAGAGTCTGCATGTGCTTGCTAGAGACACTAAGCCTAGCTGTCAAGGTCTCCAGGGATTGTCTGCACTGGACATGTTCCCCATGAGGCACCAAATGAAACTCGGAAGAGGCAAAAGCAGCTTTGAATTTCTGTCAAGCTGCAATGCCAGAAACCTAAACTTAAAAGGAAATTCATATTCTTATCTTCCATGACCCTCTTAAGTGGGACATGAGATTAAAAACAACTGAGTTGTCTCATTCTAATGGAGAGAGGCAAGTCTGGTCTTGACCATCCTGACCCACTTGCCAAGCAGAGAGCTTTGAGGATTTTTACATAGCAAGTGACAGGATAAAAACAAGACAGAAGCCACAAGAGAGAGGAAGGATAAATGACAAGACTGAGTCCAACAGCCCAGGCCTCTGCTCAGCTCCAGAGTGATCACTGGGCTCCAAAGCTACCAAACTTGTCTGAAAGTCTGCTGCAGCTCTTAATGCTCTCCTCAGTGCACCCCAGGCCATCAGCTACAGATCTTAAAAATTTACATTTCAACTGGTAAACGCTACTGATTCCAACTCCCCAGAAACGGTGCTCGATTGCTCAGGGTGGAAATTCTTCTTTAAAAAGCAGCCGCTAGCAGGGAAGAGCATATGCTGAATTGTCTTTAACACTCTCTAAGCATTTTAAACAAATGCCTTGTTACATGCAGTCACCTCAGATCAGTCCTCCGGGCCTTTCCCACACAGCAACTCCTGTATCATGCAATCTTCCAACATGGCAGAGGTAAGAAACCCATATTCTTTATGTCATTTTGGATGCCACTTCAGTTGGCTCCCAGCTCCACATACGCCACAGAGAAAACCCATTTTTAAAGTATGGTGCTCAAATTTCTGATAAATCATACCCTGAAATTTTTCTACGTTGGAGAAAAATCTGTCACACAAATTTCAGGTCTAATTAATACAGCTTTGATCTTCGGTGAAAAGAATTTCACTATCTGGTCTTAAACCAGATACCAAAATTGCAAATATTAAGTAAAAAAGTCCCTAAGACTTGTTTTTTTCATCAGCTATACCGAAAGCTTTCTTAGGTCTTTTCCAATAAATAACTCTAATTCCTTTGCTCCTGATGCTCCCATGTCATACACAAACAAGAATGTTAAAAGCAGCAATGTATGAGGCATCAGGTGGGAATTTCCTGTCTCACAACAGTCTTTATCCAACCCAACCCCCTATTTGTTTCCGTTTAACAAAAACATATTAAGCTACTACTTTCATCGGTGAGACTTCCATTTTTACCCCTTTCCTTTTATATAAAACCCCCACAGTACTGAGATATTCTGTTTATGCCAAGATGTGTTACGAATAGCTGATCAACTCACGTGAGTCACCCAACATGAATCACTTCTGTCTAGTGCACATCACTAACAGCAGTATTGTCAATGGTCTCCAAACGGCACCAAAATCCATCAGGCTGAGTAGTGCAGTTTTTTCAGGAAATGCCTTTTTACCTAGTTTCAAAGTACCTAGGTAAAACTAAACAGTGGGCTTTTACAGCATGTTTGAAAAGCAAGACAAGTTATCAAGTGCTATTTCCTCATATGAAACCAAGATAATTGCACCTTGTAAGAAAATGCTCTCTTCATGTAAGTATGTGTAGAGATGTAAGAGTATCTGTATTTCAACAGACTTCAGTTTAAACTTAACAAAAAAATTGCATCCAAGACTCCATTCGTACTTCATGGTTACATCTCTAGGAGGCTTTTCTATTTCAGGTAGTGAGACACCCAATACTCAAGCAGACTATTTCCCAGTTAGGTGAAAATCAGTTCAAGGAAGCTTATTCTCTTCCCCCCACACTCCCCCCCCGACATTTTGTTGTTGTTGTTGTTGGAGAACCACTCTGTTGGGAATTTTAGAAAAACAACACAGGATTCACAGGGAAGCTGCACCCAAGCATTTGCATTCTACACATCAAGTTATTTTGTTACTTTGACCAATACAAGATAAAGCAGTCCAGTCTGTCAGACAGGTTTCATGAAGGACAAGTATTTCGAATACAGAATTTATAACAGAATCAATACGTACAGATACCAGAATTCAGGCTAGCTTGGTGAGCTTTGGGACTTTGCAGTTATCAACCTACATAACAGCACGATGTACTTCACAATACTTCACAGAAGTATTTGTTCTTCCGTACTTCCTTGCCTCCTGCCCTAGCAAAAAAATACCTGCTTCAAAATCTGTTTCAGAATTGAATTCTCAGAGACTACATCTCTCCTTCTCACTCCAGCTGTCATCCAATCAATAACTTTACCTTTCTTTAACAGTTTGAGCATCACAGCTACACTAACATGTTTTAAGATATGCAAGGAACACACAGATTTTAACCAGTCCAGATGACTTATCTGCACCATAGTCCTCATTTGTACATGGTTTGTTGTACACAATTTAGTTCTAAATTCACCTTTTTTTCTTTTATTTTTTTAAAGTATCTTGGCTGGTGTTACAGATAACAGAGGCAAGGAGAAAGAATTCTCTTCCATCTAAATACATCTTCAGATACGCTAAATTATGAAAAATGCACTCTTTTTTTTTTTACAAAAACACATCATTACCTGCTCAATAAAGGGGGCTAAACTGGACTGCAATGATGGAGGAGAAAGCAAAAGTGAATCACATCAGATGTACTGTGATTTGTGGCAGAGGAAAAGCAACTACTGGAGTAGTTTTTTCAAAGTGATAAAGTACTCAGACTGTGTAAAGAAAAAGAAACTATGTTGAGTAGATCTGTTAAATATATCCACCTGAAAACAAATGAAAGGAATAAATGAAAAGCAAAGACTGAAACAAAGCATTATAGAATTACAGCCCAACTCAGGCTAACACAGATCGAAGAGGTACCTGTTGGAGGAGAAAAGGGAAACTCTCATAAATACAGCTGAATCACAACATAGTACACTTGGAGTAAAAGTGGTACCTCGGTGGGAGGTATCTGTTACCAAGAGCTTTAACTTGATTAAAACACCAAGATGTCTGATTGGATCAAAACATCATCTCAAGAATGGCTTAGGAGATACCTATGGTGGAACAGTTGTTGCCCCTTGTCTTCTCCATGTAGCTCCTTGTGAAGAGAGCGCCTCCATCCTCTTTGTAGCTGTCCTTTAAGTACTGGAATACTGTGATAAGGTACCCCCTGAGCCTTCTCTTCTCCAAGGAGAAAAGACCTAACTCCTCCAATCTTTCCTCATAGGGCAGGTTCTCCAGCCCTTTCATCATCTCCATGG